AATTCTTGACATACATGATCTCATAGCCTTCTTATGCTTTCACAAAGGTGTGCAGAGCAGGGAAAGACAATTATGCAATCTACTCAAAAAGGCCTTCTTTTAGATTTCCATCTGTTCCCACCTTTCTCTGAAAGCCGGCTGGATAAACAACATCTGTATATAAAAGCCCAGACACCACGATACAAAATTGCTAATGTCAGTAATAAGAATAATACTGTTGTGAAAAAACGGTCTCATATCAACTTAGTGCACAACATTTTTTGTCTTGCTCACTGTGATGCTGCAGCAAATATCGCAGATTCTCTGTGTAACATTTTCAAACTGTGGGACGAAGTGAATGGGCATCTCACCCTTTTGCTGAGGCAGATGACGGGCCACAAACTGAAGCCCAGTGTGCAACAGCAATTCAGACAACCACACAGAAGCCACCGCACATTCACCGGGAGCGTCTTTCTCAGGCAGCTGTTCACACGATTGGTACTGGCTTTGAATTCCTCTGGTGCCACCTAAGGGAAGCACACAGTATTACTTTTATTATTAACGGTGGGTCTATTCACATTTTAGCACCATTAAATGTGCATCAAGTATCTGTATTTTGTACGAAAAAAAGGAAAGAATTAATGTAAACGCACTTGTTGAATCTGATGTAAACCCCATGTATTATAGTCCCTTCAAATGGGAGAGTTTGGCCAGTTTTTTTTTTTACTTTAAGATAAAAGGAGATTGTAGCTCATTTTAATATGATGGAACTGCATTATTATTTTTATATTGTTAGTGGGGAAATAGTAAAAGTTAAAATTATTGCTATAATATTGCACGTATAATATATTGCAAAGATAGTCCAAATCAGCTTTTCTTCTTGTTTATTTCACATCTCTAAAACATATTTAGACACATTTATACGTGTTAGAACACAAAATAGAAAACATGCTATGTCAAAATTATGAAATTTTGTCATAGTCTGTGTTTTAATAATTCATTATTTTCTTTGTTTTTCCTGTTCTTTCTCTGTTCACATGTTATTCTGTTTTTATTTACTTATTTTTGTTTGTTTGTTTTTATTTCTGGTCTCTTCTTTAGTAGCTGACAGTTTTATTTTAAAGGTCATTGTATCATGTGGACATTTACTTTTATCACCCTCCTTTTTGAGTGCTTCTGTGTCTTATTATCGCGTGTTTGTTTGTTTTTTCTTCCACCTCTGTGCAAAGATTGTTGTTCATCTCTAAGATGACATTAAAGATCCTTTTATTTTACTGCCTAACGTTTCCTATGATGTAAACCTGTTACTAATAAAACCTTTAAAATGATTTCACTTGACACTGGGATTGAAACGGATCTGTAGTCTGTTACATGAGTGTGCCTCTTAGCAAACTCTGTACACAATCTTGCAGTCCACAGTAAGTGGTTTTAAAATCAAAGGCTTTAATTTGAAAGCAACATAATTTTTCTGTCTGACGTGTATGAATGAGCATATTTGGAGAAAGGTAAACACATATCTAGTGAAGGATCTGAAGTTTTGAACTGAATCTTTGAAAACTGTATAAAACTGAAAACTCCAAACAGGACAGAAATGTCTTATAGGATAAAAGTGATCAGTTAAAAAAAAACCTTTGTATTAACTTCTTGTGACCATTTTTACTCCGAGCCAGCAAAATACCAAAGATCATCTCACTCTATATAAATGGTCATCAAGTCTGAAATAGCATAAACATCCAGTTGCTAAGAGAAGGACATGATTTTTCTACATTAACAGGTTTGTATTTGTGCCAAAACAAAACTGTCCATTGTAATACTGAATTAAATTAAAGACTTCTTAAAAATTATGTGTGAAACTATGGAAAAAGCATAACAAATAAAACAAACAAATAAAAATGCCTAAATGTAGCTTCTGATTTCTTCTGCTTTATTTGGATGAACAATCACTTTTATGTTGTTACTGTATGTCTTTACTGGAACAAAGGACAAGTCCAGTTCAATTACTAGATGAGTATCACTAATGCGGTGATATCTAAGCAACATTTTAAAACTCCTTTACTTGGAGGACTAATTGGCAGCTAAAATGAGCTTCCTCCAGATGGTGGCGGATGGTCTTTCTTAGTGATAGAGTGAGGAGCAGGGCCATTTGGGAGGGACTCATAGTTTACCACTATTATCACTAAATATCAAAATAAGTCAGGTGAGGTTGTTCACCCCAGTGGTTGGATGTTTGTTGGGTCACTGGTATGAATAATATGTATCTGATAAATTCTCATATGTGCAAGTAAATGGGGTATCTTCTTCACACACAAGAACTAGTCACAGTTGCAATGCTTTTTATATTATACATTAGGCGATGTTATTAGAAAACACTACACATATTTATTGCTATGCAGATGACACCCAGCTTTACTTATTAATAATAAGACAAAACTCCAATATGAAAAAAAAATCAACTAGTTAAACTACAGCTGCGTCTTAAAGACATGCACAGATGCACTGATGTTTGAAAATAGGAAAAGTCTGTGTGGTAATTTTCATTTTTGTATTGTATTGTATCTTTATTTATTTCAGACATAATAAAAACAAACAAAAAAAAACAATATATACTCGTCTACATGTATTTTCATTTACGAATACGAATATATGTGTAGATATACACACACACACGTATTTGTACAGACAAACAAGAAAGAAATATAATAAAATAAAACACATTCGTCTAACATGAGATAACAGTTGTTTGGTCTGAAAAGGAGTAGGAAGAAGTATGCACATACTTATTAACTCCTACCCCTGCTCAACATCTTATTAATCCCACATATTTATCTAAATCTCCTCATCACATACTCCACACAATACACAAGAAAACTTATATCAACAAGGCTGGCACGATGTTTTTAATTTAAATACGAGTTGACATATTTATACATACAATGGGTGATTGTCTTTTTCAATATCATATCCTTCCAAGAGTAATTTTCGAAGTGTCTTTATGAACTTGCCAATTCCTGAGCATTGCTGTAATTCTGCAGTAAAGCTATTCCACAGTTTTACTCCATAAATAGTTACGCAAAAGGTTTTAACATTTGACCGTGCTTTAAGAATCTTCAGATTCAACTTACCCCTTAGTTCATAGTCTCCTTCTCTGTCATAGAACATCCTCTGTATATTTCCTGGTAACATATTGTATCTAGCTTTATACATAATTTTTGCCGTTTTGTATTTTATAAGATCCATAAACTTCAATATTTTTAATTTCAAAAACATGGTGTTAGTATGGTCTCTAAATCCAGCTTTACTAATAATCCTGATTGCTTTTTTTTTAAATTTTACATATTGGTTGAAGTGAAGTTTTATATGTGTTTCCCCAAATTTCCGCACAGTATTCCAAATATGGCAATATGAGTGAACAGTAAAGTACCTGGAGTGATTTGGAAGGCAAAAAATATTTAACTTTACTCAGTATGGAGACACTTCTTGACAGTTTAGCTTGTACATACTTTATATGAGGTTTCCAGCAGATTTTGTTATCTATTATCACACCCAGAAATTTTGTATCCGAAACTTGCTCTAATTCGACATTATTTACTAATAACTTTGCTTCGGCATCTTTTTTATAGTTTCCGAATAACATAAATGTCGTTTTTTCCAAATTTAATGATAACTTATTTCTATCAAACCATGTTTTCAGTTTAGTCATTTCTTGTGTGACAATTTCCAAAAGCTGCTGTAAGTTCTCTCCAGCACAAAAAATATTTGTATCATCTGCAAATAGAATAAACTGTAATATATCTGATGTTCTACATATATCGTTGATATAGAGGATAAACAGCTTTGGTCCCAATACTGACCCCTGCGGAACTCCACAAACAATGTCCATACACTCTGATTGATGTTCCCCAATTTTCACAAATTGTTTCCTGTCTCTCAAATAACTCTTTACCCACTCTAACACCACTCCTCTAATGCCATAATACTCCGATTTATCGAGTAATATTTCATGATTAATTGTATCAAAAGCTTTTTTTAGGTCGATGAATATACTAGCTATACATTGTCTTTTATCTATATTGTTAGTGATATTTTCAATCAATTCTATTAATGCCAATGATGTTGATCTATTTGATCTGAAACCATACTGACTATCCGTTATTATTTTGTGTTTATCTACAAATTTGTCAAGTCGATTAATAAAAACCTTTTCCAGTATTTTTGAAAATTGAGAAAGTAGAGAGACAGGCCTATAATTTGTGAATTGGTGTTTAACACCATTTTTGAACAATGGTGTTACTTTAGCTATTTTCATTTGTGTCGGGAATGTACCAGTTTGTATGGACAAATTGCAGATATGTGTTAAGGGTTTGGAAATGCCCTCTATCACTTTCTTGACTATTTCCATATCTATGTCATCAGAGTCTGTAGAGTTTTTTGTTTGTAATTTCCCAACAATATCAATGATTTCCTTTTCTTCTACTGCCGTTAAGAACATTGAATGAGGATTGCGATCAATGAGTCTGGTTTCTTTCTCTACCGAATCTGTCATATCAGGAATTGTTTCAGCCAAGTCTGGCCCAACACATCGCTCATATTAGTAATGTTTCTATTATTATTTGTGAAATACGAAGGATAGTCTGACTGTCCAGAGCCCTTTTTAATGATGGTATTTAATGTTTTCCAAATCCCCTTAATATTATTTTTATTCATAATCAATAATTTCTCATAGTATTCCTTTTTACATGACCTCAAAATACTCGTTAATTTATTTTTATATTTCTTATATTTATTTTCAGCTTCTGTACTTTGGTTCATTATAAATTCTCTGTATAAGGTATTTTTCTTCTTACATGCATTTTGCAATCCTTTTGTAATCCATGGGCATTCTGCATATTTTTGTTTTTTACTGTATTTCCTTACTGGGCAACGACTATTTTGATAACTTAAATACTTCTGTACCATCGTAGTGCCCTGACATGAGCCTGCAGCAATCCCCTGCTAACACTTTTCCTGTTTCTCAGGTAGGAGAGTTAAAGTGTCTGCTGCTGAGCTGGAAGAGTTTACAAAGCAGGCAGAGTGTCTGAACCTACAACCACCTGCTATCATGGACTTAGAAAAGGGTATGAACTTCTACTTAATATGAAAGTCTTAAAGCCACGTCTGTATGTGCCCTGAAAAATAAACAAAACACAATAGTCAGTAGCAGATTACGGTTTGTCAAATAAGTTCAGTTAAACAAAGAAACTGCAGCTGAACTAAATGTTACACCTTCAGTTTAATGTTGTCATTATTTGTATACCACCATGGTTTGAACAATTGTAGATTCAATTAATTTCTCCTCTCATAAATTAAAGGCATTCACAAATGTCATCTTCACAGGTTTGTGCCCAGATCCATCTCTTACCCCAGAAACAAATTTCACTGATGTAACCACACACACCATAAGCTCTGATGAGCTCAGCCTTCTAGAAGAACTTCTCAGTAGTGAAGATGGAGTGAAGACCCTTTTCGATATGATCCAAAGAAGTATGGCTTCAGTCAAGCAAGACTGACGGCTATGCCTGTGAAGAATATTGCCACTTAAAATAAAGATGCGTGACTGTTTTTTCCTCTGTGGCAATTTGTTCTATGTCATCAGTGTAATTTAGATTTAGTTTCATTGAACTGACATAAAAATGACAATGTGAACCTGCTTTAAGAAGAAAAGATTACTTAGTTTTGTCACTTTAATGCACCATGTACTAAAAACAATCAACAAACCATGATAAAGTTTGTTCATGTTGCTCCGGTTGGGCTCAGTCTGCTGATGGTTGGACAAAGCATTATGGACACTGTAAAACTATAAAGTCCAGCTCTTGTGACTACTAATCATCTTGTTTGATCCTTTTTACACTCAACAAAAATATAAACGCAACACCTTTGTTACTGCTCCCATTCCCCATGGGATGGACGTAGAGACCTAAAATTCATTCCAGATACACAATATAACCATCCCTCCCAAACAGTGGTCACAAATCAGTCCAAATGTGTGGTAGTGGGCACATCTGCTATATTGAGATAATCCATCCCACCTCACAGGTGTGCCACATCAGGATGCTGATCTGACATCATGAGTAGTGCACAGGTGTACCTCAGACTGCCCACAACAAGAGGCCACCCTGGAATGTGCAGTTTTTTGCACTATTGGGGGTCTGGGGACCCAGAACCGGTCAGTATCTGGTGTGACCACCATTTGCCTCATGCAGTGCAACACATCGTCGCATGGAGTCTATCAGATTGTCAATTGTGGCCTGTGGAATGTTGGTCCACTCCACTTCAATGGCTGTGCGAGGTTGTTGGATATTCGTGCGAACTGGTACACGCTGTTGTATACGCCGGTCAAGCACATCCCGAACATGCTCAATGGGTGACATGTCCGGTGAGTATGCTGGCCATGCAAGAACTGGGACATTCTCAGCTGCCATCTGCCCTGAACAATGTGAACCATGATTCATCCGTGAAGCGCACACCTCTCCAACGTGCCAGACGCCATCGAATGTGAGCATTTGCCCACACAAGTCTGTTACGGCGACGAGCTGGAGTCAGGTCAAGACCCCGATGAGGACGACGGGCATGCAGTTGAGCGTCCCTGAGACGGTTTCTGACAGTTTGTGCAGAAATTGTTTGGTTGTGCAAACCAATCGTTCCAGCAGCTGTCTGGGTGGCTGGTCTCAGACGATCTTGGAGGTGAACCTGCTGGATGTGGAGGTCCTGGGCTGGTGTGGTTACACGAGGTCTGCGGTTGTGAGGCCGGTTGGATGTGCTGCCATATTCTCTGAAACGCCTGTGGAGACGGCTTATGGTTGAGAAATGAACATTCAATGCACGGGCGACAGATCTGGTTGACATTCCTGCTGTCAGCATGCCAATTGCACGCTCCCTCATTGCTTGTGGCATCTGTGGCATTTTGCTGTGAGACAAAACTGCACATTCCAGGGTGGCCTTTTGTTGTGGGCAGTCTGAGGTACACCTGTGCACTACTCATGATGTCAGATCAGCATCCTGATGTGGCACACCTGTGAGGTGGGATGGATTATCTCAATATAGCAGATGTGCCCACTACCACACAATTGGACTGATTTGTGACCACTGTTTGGGAGGGATGGTTATATTGTGTATCTGGAATGAATTTTAGGTCTCTACGTCCATCCCATGGGGAATGGGAGCAGTAACAAAGGTGTTGCGTTTATATTTTTGTTGAGTGTAGTTGCTGGATTTTACTACAGAAGATCGAGCCAGTGGCAGTGTGGCCTTTCTGGTTGTGGCCCTGCTTTTTCACACTTCTTTTATTGACCAGCACTCTGGGTTTGAAGTGACTTATAGTGTCTGTGTTTCTTTTCATTCCCTTTTGTTAGAACCTCCAGCTACCAAGTCCATCCCAACATCTATTATTTTTCTTCATTGGTACTCCCAAAAGGTTGATTCTGTTCATCTGGATTTAGCGCTTTCAGTGGGAGAAACGTTTCGTCACTCATCCAAGTGACTTCTTCAGTCTCAGCTGACTGCAGGTTTGCATGAAACTAGCCCACTGAATGAACAGTAGGCTGTGAGGTCAGTTCCTTGATCATTAAAAATGCTACGTCCAGATGAACAGGATCAACCTTGGTGGCACTTGGTGTTCGCTCGCTCTGTGGTAGAGTATCACTTCCTGTTCCTGCTCAAACACAGTGGTGTTTCTGAGTAGCTTATTTGCTTAGCAATTTAATTAACAACTTTTAAATACATTCTTTTTCATAGTATAATCTTCACGTGCTTCATCCGAAGCACACATTCTGTGTACTCACTACCTAATTTATAGCCAAAGTATTCACTCACTGTCTCTGTACTGTCTCGCTAGCTTAGCTTAGCTCGTAGCCGACTCGTTAGCACCATGGCTACTTCACCTGTTCCTCCTGCACTTTCTTGCTCATTGTGTCAGATGTTTAGTTACTCCTCGGCCACCTTTAGCAGTAATGATATCTGTAACAAATGTAGCATATTTGCAGCGATGGAGGCCAGGATTACTGAATTGGAGACTCTGCTTCGCACCCTTCATTCACCCGTAGCTAGCCAGGCCCCTGTAGCTGGTGCAGCCGAAGATAGCGTAGGCCCCGCTAGCTGTTCCCCGGCAGACCCCAAGCAGCTGGGGAAAGAGGGCGGCTGGGTCACGGTGAGGAGGAAGCATAGTCCTAAACAGAAGCCCCAGGTACACCATCAACCCGTTCATGTGTCTAACCGTTTTTCCCCACTCGGCGACACACCCGCCGGGGGTCAAACTCTGGTAATTGGCGATTCTGTTCTCAGACATGTGAAGCTAGAGACACCGGCAACCATAGTCAATTGTCTCCCAGGGGCCAGAGCAGGCGACATTGAAGGAAATTTAAAACTGCCGGCTAAGGGTAAACGTAAATTCAGTAAAATCATAATTCACGTTGGCAGTAATGACACCCGGTTACGCCAATCGGAGGTCACTAAAATCAATATTGAATCGGTGTGCAACTTTGCTAAAACAATGTCGGACTCTGTAGTTTTCTCTGGTCCCCTCCCCAATCAGACCAGGAGTGACATGTTTAGCCGCATGTTCTCCTTAAATTGCTGGCTGTCTGAGTGGCGTCCCAGAAACGATGTGGGCTTCATAGATAATTGGCAAACCTTCTGGAGGAAACCTGGTCTTGTTAGGAGAGACGGCATCCATCCCACTTTGGATGGAGCAGCTCTCATTTCTAGAAATATGGACAAATTTATTAAACCCCCCAAAATATGACTATCCAGAGTTGGGACCAGGAAGCAGAGTTGCAGTCTTACACGCCTCTCTGCAGCTTCTCTCCTCCTGCTACCCCCCCCAAAAACCCATCTCCATAGAGACTGTGTCAGCTTCCAAAAAGACAAAACAAACTAAAAACCAGCAACAAACAACTTAAACATAAACAATCACAAAGAAAGAACAATACAGTATCCACATCTGAACCAAAGAGTAAAACAGTGAAATGTGGATTATTAAATATTAGGTCTCTCTCCTCCAAGTCTCTGTTAGTACATGACTTAATAATTGATCAACAAATCGATTTACTCTGCCTTACAGAAACCTGGTTGCAGCAGGATGATTATGTTAGTTTAAATGAATCAACACCCCCGAGTCATTCTAACTACCAGAAATCTCGAAGCACAGGCCGAGGGGGCGGTGTGGCAGCAATTTTTCACACCAGCCTATTAATTAGTGAAAGACTAAGACAGACTTTTAATTCATTTGAAAGCCTGATGCTTAACATTGTCCACCCCAGCTGTGAAACTCAGAAACCAGTCTTACTTGTTATCATCTATCGTCCACCTGGGCCTTACACAGAGTTTCTGTCTGATTTCTCAGACTTTATATCTAATTTAGTTCTGAGCTCAGATAAAATAATTATTGTGGGTGATTTTAACATCCATGTAGATGCTAAAAATGACAGCCTCAACATGGCATTTAATCTGTTATTAGACTCAATTGGTTTCTCTCAAAATGTAAAAGAACCCACCCACCACTTTAATCACACTCTAGATCTTGTTTTAACATATGGCATAGAAACTGAACATTTAACAGTGTTTCCTGAAAACTCTCTCCTGTCTGATCATTTCCTGATAACATTTACATTTACAATAATTGATTACACAGCGGTGGAGAGTAGACTTTATCAAAGTAGATGTCTTTCTGAAAGTGCTGTAACTAAGTTTAAGAATATAATCCACCCACTGTTATCATCTCCAATGCCCTGTACCAACACAGAGCAGAGCAGCTATCTGAACGCTACCCCAACAGAGGTCGATTATCTTGTTAATAATTTCACCTCCTCACTACGTACGACTCTGGATACTGTAGCTCCAGTGAAAACTAAGGTCTCTAATCAGAAGTACCTGACTCCGTGGTATAATTCTCAAACATGTACCCTAAAGCAGATGACTCGTAATCTGGAGAGGAAATGGCGTGTCACAAATCTAGAGGATCATCATTTAGCCTGGAGAAATAGTTTGCTGCTTTATAAGAAAGCCCTCCGCAAAGCCAGAACATCTTACTATTCATCACTGATTGAAGAAAATAAGAACAACCCCAGGTTTCTCTTCAGTACTGTAGCCAGGCTGACAAAAAGTCAGAGCTCTTTTGAGCCAACCATCCCTTTAACGTTAACTAGTAATGACTTCATGAACTTCTTCACAAATAAAATTTTTATCATTAGAGAAAAAATTACCAATAATCATCCCACAGATGTAATATTATCTACAGCTACTCTTAGTACCATTGATGTTAAGTTAGACTCTTTTTCTCCAATTGATCTTTCTGAGTTAACTTCAATAATTACTTCCTCCAAACCATTAACGTGTCTTTTAGACCCCATTCCTACAAAACTGCTCAAAGAAGTCCTGCCATTAATTAATTCTTCGATCTTAAATATGATCAACCTATCTCTAATGATCGGCTATGTACCACAGGCCTTCAAGCTGGCTGTAGTTAAACCTTTACTCAAAAAGCCATCTCTAGACCCAGCAGTCTTAGCTAATTATAGGCCAATCTCCAACCTTCCTTTCATATCAAAAATCCTTGAAAGAGTAGTTGTCAAACAGCTAACAGATCATCTGCAGAGGAATGGTTTATTTGAAGAGTTTCAGTCAGGTTTCAGAGCTCATCACAGCACAGAAACAGCTTTAGTGAAGGTTACAAATGATCTTCTTATGGCCTCTGACAGTGGACTCATCTCTGTGCTTGTCCTGCTAGACCTTAGCGCAGCATTCGATACTGTTGGCCATAATATCCTATTAGAGCGATTAGAACATGCTGTAGGTATTTCAGGTACTGCACTGCAGTGGTTTGTATCATA